CAATTAATTCTTGCACATATATTTTTTGTATAAGTCTTCCGTTTTCTAATTTCGAAAAATAGTGCAATTGTTTCAATTTTTTAAGCTCTCGAAATTTATTTTATTTGAAATTCAATATGCACACGAACAAAACAAAATAATATATCTCTTGCTCATTCTAAGGATTTATTCCATGGGCTTAAATTGCGGCACGAAAATACTATTGCAGTGCTTCCGACTTATTCACACTTCATTTTCCTTTCTAACAAATCGACATTTTTTGATATTTTTCAGAAAAGTTTTATAATTGACTGCATGCAGTCTTTTGATTCTTTTTGAAATTAAAGGAAAGAAAAATTGCATGAAATATGATAAGTAGACGTTTAATTAGAAATAAATTAAGGATAATGAAGTGGTAATCATAGCAGATTTAAATTTCATGAAATTTGCTAGAAATCAGTTGCTATCAGTGCAACAGTAAATTGATATAATTCTACTATGCCAAGCTAATATTTAGTATTCGGAAGTTAAAATAGTATTCGAGCTAGTTTTCAGGATATTAATGAAGTTAATTTTTCTTTCTGATAATGAATGTTAATAAAGTAATCGGTCTTTAGAGTAATCGGTCTCGTAATCGGTCTCAAGATAAATTCTAACAAACTGATATTAGACCGAAAATTTGAAATGGGATTTCAACTCTAAACGAAAATTGTTCTCTTTTTCTTGATGTAAAGATGATTTGCTGCAGTGATAGCTGGGATGAACCTTTTCCGGAATTCAATGGAACGATCATTGTTTTTCCACTGGTCAGGCACCTTGGCGGTGGTGGACTTCGTGAAGTGGTTGCCGAGATGCGATAACAAAGCGAAGATTGTGTTTGGTTGTCACCACTTGACATCACCATTAGCGGTGTCAAACTTTCGAACTCGTCTAATTTTGCCAATCTCGTGCCTTGCTGCAAATATCAGACAATTTTATAACTATTTCATATGGCTATAATCCTAATTTAAATTCTTTTTTTTTTGTGTATATAATGATGCATAGCAAATAGTCATAAAGTTGTTTGGTTGTTATCCAATTCTAATGAAAAAAGTTGTTTCTAAGATGGAACATACAACTGTATAAGTTTATAAAAACTCTTTGTGCTTTAGCACTGAAAATAGTTTTAAAACCCTAACCCTTTTGAAAGAAGACTGAACAGAATAGCAATATATTCTAGTTTAAAAAACTTTATTTAATGAGAATATTCTACTTAATTCTATCCTATTTTAAAATACTGGTTGATTTGATTTATAATTATATTATCTTTCCCTGTTAATATATCTTTCCAACTTGTTTCTTCCCAGTTATTTCATGAACAATCACCAATTTTTGCTAACTCTGAACAACAAAATCTTTTAGTGAAATTTAGTTGGAATAGAATTTTTTTAAATGAAATATCCGGAAGATGCTTTTTTCAATACCGTCGATATTGAGAAAAAGTTTGTTATTGAGCAATCGCAAACTGCTAGAATCAACAAAGTAACACAGTCACTACATACAAAAGTATATGATATATACAAGAGATTTATATATTATTCTTTAGTTTCTTGATTGAATGATCGATTTTAATGCACTTCAATTCCATTAAAAACTTAAGAATTCAAAATTTTATTGGAATATAAAATGTTTACTCTGCATTGATCTTGTGATTTGGCTGCTGTTCTTGCACGACGTCGTTTTGCATAGCAACATAGTACAGGCATGAAAATCTGTTTAATAATCAGTAATTTACGATAAATCATATCGTTATAATTCAAAATCATGACACAACCATTGCATGCAATTAAAGATTACATTGAGAAATGATAAAGAGCCTTAACTTATGATCTCGAGTTCGTTACAAATATCATATATGCCAGAATGTTAAGTTATTAAGCTGATATGCTTTCTCCAATCAAAATTAAAACTACCACTAATTTATTTCACTCGGACATTTTTGACTGCCAATTTCTTTCGAATGTTTACTACCGCAAATGAAGAATTAAAGAAATATAAGTGAAACAATTCACAGTATAAATTTTGTTTTGGAAATCGTACATATGAAAAAAGCCTTAAAGTTGGTTAAAAAATAATCACAAAAAAATGGTCGTCACTTGATATAGGAGCAGAGCAACATATAAATAAGAATAGGATGTACCATGTAACTTGTGTCTAGTATACTTCTCAAGCCTAACTCTTTCCTTGGTTGGTATTATTAAGTTCTCTATTCATACTTATTATGCTTAAGTATTAATTACAATGAAACTTATTTCAACTGTTTTAGAAGTACTATTAAACAATTAAATGCTACCATTAAGCTATATCAAGGAGCAATCTCCTTATTAAGTCGATCTACAGAATAAGGGAAACATCTACAAATTTGGTATTATTACTCACAGCATAATGTTCCTGATAATTTATGAAATTAACTAATTTTTTGACGAAAAGAAAAAATAAATTAAAAAAAAAAAAACATTTTTTTTTTTAAAAATTAGAAGTGGAAATGGAAAATAGTACCAATCAAACATAACTGATATTACTAATATGCTTTGTAATACAGCAGAAAATTATACAAAGAAATGAGAAATGATGATTCATTCGAATCAAAGTTCATCCTTTTGAGAATTTGAGCGAAGCACGAAATTAGGCTCAAAAGTAAGCTTTACAAGGAAATAACTTCAAGACGAAACCAAATTTTCAGACGAGAATGCAATTTCTTGGTAAACGAGTTAGGCTATTCTTAAATTTCTCGAAAGAGAAAATATGAAAGTAAAGTAGCGGATAAAGCTAGGAACTTATTTATCTTTGGATCAGTCCGATGAACTGAAGAATGAATGCTGTGCTCTTTGGGCCAACTTAAATACGGAGTAGCTGGGCTGTCAAATTGAGTCTTTGCTTTTGTTGTCTCAAGTGTTCCATATTTGTTTGTGTATTCTGTGTGTGTGTGTGTGTGCGCATGCGTGCATTCCCCTCTATGAAGATGAAATTTTCGATAAGGACTGAATTCTTTTGGAAGTTTCATAAATTGCATTGAAGTGTTTGTAGTTTACAAAGTTTTCAAAGTTTTATTAACTTTACCACCACTTGACTCACAGTTCCTTATGAGTTCTTGAAGTATACTTTGTGTAAACATTAATAGAAATTTTTTTGGATTATTCAGTTTTTCCAAAGAAATTCAGAAGTAGCGATTTCAACGGAAGTTAATGAAATGTAAAGGTTTTCTGAATAAAAAGATTAGAAAAAAGCGTTTCAAAGACCAACAGTTTGCTGAAATTAAAATTTTTGAAAAATAAAGAAGATAAATTTGAATGACCATAAAGTAGGCCAGAGAAAAATGTTTTAATGCTAATTTAAATCAAAGGATAGAATTAAACTTGAATTCATAATTGAAACGGATCATTGTAAAAACGGTTCAAAGTGAAAATATTGAAAACTGTGGTGGTTTCATTATCTGCCTCATTTTGGCATCAATTTATTAAGTATCGATGCGGTGCATGTAATTCATTTTGTTCCATTTTCTTTTATTCTGAGAGCCTTATTCTCTATACTAGGCCCCACATCCTTATGAATGCCAATATGACGACCACAACTGCTGGTCATTTGTCACATTGGCCACAGTTGCGACAATGCCTCTTATCCAGCAATTTGCCATTGTAACATAATGATTATGCGGAAAGCTCAAGGCTGAAAAAGCATTTCACATCGAAAATGAAACAGATTTTTGAAGATTCTGTTGAAAAATCATTAGATATGTTTATTTGGATCATTAATTGAAAAAAAAAAAAAAAAAAAACTAATAGCTATAAAACACAGATAGCACAGTTTTGTTTGGTTCGAAATATATTTCAAATGCTCGAAATCTTAAATTGTTTCAAAATCAACCAAAAATGAGAGAGAAAATTAATTATTCAGTTTGCATTATTTGCTCCGTTTGTAAATAATATTTATAAATGATGTTTCAGATTCTGCTGAATCTTGGAAAGTAAGCAAGACAAATCCCATAAAAGCCAAATGAAAAAATGGATTTTGAAGAGAAATGAAGGCAATATGCTGATTCGTCAACGCAATAAAAAACATCGAGAAATAACCAACAAACTGTAGAGAAGATATTTAAAATACCCAAACTTCAAATTAAACAAAAGTGCTATAAATTGTTTACAAATTGAAATGAAAATGTATCGCATAGTATTATGTTATCCTTATTAACATAATATTTATAACGTTACTCAGATTAATCTTTGACACAAGAACATGTCAACATAGAATGCTGAATTAAACAGATGGCACAAAACAAAACAATCATAATCCAACAAAAACTTAACGCTTTGGAGAATACGACAAATAAAAAGATGGTTGAAGTAGAATAATAACAATTCGACAAATTCATTAGAAATGAGTGGAAAGACGAATATTCTAGCAAATATTACTTTTTCATTTTTCGAGAGGGCTTATTTACAATTTTGCATAGTCAATTCGAGAAAGATTATTAAATTTGTAATTTCCGGAAGCATAATGTAATTGGTTTGAAAGTCAACGGAAAGCAAATGCTGTAATAAAAGTTTAAGTGAAGTGGATGGCAAGCATAAGTCATTGACTGAAGACTAAAAAAGTTATGCACAGGTAGTAGTGCCATTAATTGTATTCCATTCTTAATCAGTCAACATGTGTGCGTGCGGTGAAATCAGAATACTTACAAGTGAATTCCTTCATTGATTTTTATTTTGAATGTACAACTCGACAAAGTACCACTTTTCTATTCAACTAATTTTTACTAAATTTAAGATTCTTAACTTATTTCTGACAGAATTTCGACAACTTATTAATGAGTGATCAGCGGTCTTATTGCATTAGCCATTATTTCTCATTTCATTGTGAAATGATTTAAAAAGCATTCAATATTCTTTTAATTTGAAGTGTTCCCATTGTTAATTCTTATTGTTTTTTATAAAATTAAAAGAAAAAATTATGCTTAATTTCTAGAAACAATAATTGAAATCTGATTATTTTCGTGACACAATCTCCTCTTCGTCCGAACTGTCAGCATCCCTTTCTTCAGAATGTGTCTTTTGTGTACTCTGCTGATAAATAATGTAATCTAAATGTGGTATTACTCGTCCATTACTTCGTATTGGTGCTGGAATTTTCCGTAAATCGTTAAAAAATGAATGTCCGAGCACTTCATTACCTTTAAGTCTCAGGTGAGGTTCATAAACAAGGATAGCTTGCAGCAATTGGATCATATCGGCTGGTGCATTGCATGCATTTAACACTACTCGCAAACTACGGGCACGTTTTCGGGCATATCGTGGTTTTTTTACTTTCATTGCCTGACATTGCTCCGTGCTCGGATAGCCAAATATATCGATGACTAGTCGAGCTTGATCCTGCCAAGTACGTCCCTGTAAGAGTACTTTGCCAGTGACAAATTCGGATAAAACACAACCGCATGCCCAGACGTCCACTGCTGTTGAATACCTAGTCGAACCGAATATCAGTTCCGGTGCTCGATAATAACGTGTCACCTGAAAACGAATATTGATTTATCAGATTTCAAAGCACTTTTTATCAAACCATCCCTTTTTTAATCTCTGTGGGTAGTACTAACCTGATATGGCGTATTTTCTTCGCTTTCTCTTAACAGTTTTGCACTTCCAAAATCAGCCAGTTTTAAGATCCCCTTTTCGTCATCAACAATCAGGTTAGATGGTTTAACATCTCGATGCGCAATGCCTAAGGCATTCACGTAATCTATTGCTGAGAACATTTGAAATGCATATAATTTAGCATCCAAGAGGGGAAAACGGCGACCTATTTTGCTCATTCGCAATTTGCCCATATCTGTGGGTAAGTAATCAAAAACCATGCAGTAACATGTCTCATTATCTGATGTTAGAGTGAAATGATAAAGAAGTGTGATGATGCATCGATGCTTCATTCGAGATAGATAATACACTTCTGGATTGATTGCAGACCATCCTTTACCTGCCCAGGTCTTCTTAATTGCAACGATCATTTCTACCGGCCTGTATAATCTAGCTGAATAAACATTAGCGAAAACGCCGCTCGCATGGAGATGCTCCTCGCCGAATGTAATTTCCACTTCTCTACCTTGGCCTGGTCCTTGAACTCGGAGTGCTTTGACAGTTCGCTCCATTATTTCATTCCCAAATAATTTTCAAGCTCCCGATTTTCCAAAATTCGTAATATTTTACATATAACTTGAACTGAATCCGTGCTATATATTTATTTATCAAATGACATCAAATATTTACTTTCCCATTTTATACTTTTCAAAAAGAGTAAAATTTGCATGACATGAATTTAACATACACCGCAAGTGATTCCATAATATTAGAGCACATACTAATGAATACCTTATTGGATGACATTTACCACTTTCACTTTATGCATTGTTTCTGATAAAAAAAGCAAAAGACCAATAAATTTTAGAACTTTCGTTATTTTTAAGAGACTTCATTAAAAACCACGTTTTTGTGTACTTCGCATTTCGACATTAGCACCCTTACATGCTTTTAATTTCGATGGATCAAAATCAGCTCCAATTGGTAATTCAACACAATTCTGGGAAATAACAATCTTCCTGCTATTTTTACTTGCATGTTGTTTCTGTAATATTGATGGACGATTTAATGTTTTTGAAGCCACAGCCATTCGGAATTGGATGATCTGCAAAAATCATAGAAATCATTGACTTCATCAAATTTTCAGAAGTAATTTTTTAAGGTTTTTCATATTGTAACAAAATGAGAGAAGCCGAATAACTGTATTTTCAACTAACAAAAAAACCCAAAAAATTTACTTGTTTTTGAGCAATTTCTAGCACATCACTTGCAAATTCGACTTGATCACGATAACTATCAATACCTCCGGCCAAACTTTCGATTGTAAAATTTACCTTAGTAGACGAAAAGTCATGTTGTTGATATGATTTTCAATTTCTGAATGTTAAAACAGTTAAGATAAGGAATACCTGACCATTTTCAATGACTGCTGCTTGTATGAAATAATCAAGCATAGTTTTACTTGCAATGGGATATTCATTCACTTCGCTAAAACAACACACTTCATTTGCAAAACTTTGGATTCTCTAATATAATGCATTAACAGTCTTTTCCAGTTATTTCATAAATTATTGATTAGTTCTAGGGATCGGTGTACTACATAAATTTTCTTTGAAAACTAATACTTAGTTCGGTACAATTTTAATAATTATATTTATCATAATGACAGAATCCGGAATGCTTGCTCAACTGAATAAGAATCAATTGTAAGTGCCAACAAACACCGTATTACATCTCCTGGACGTAGATGTAAGGATGAAAGACTGTCATTAGCTGTAGCATTCACTTGAATTCTTTCTTTTGCATCATATTTCACAGATAATCCGAGCACTTCGCTTATGTCAACTATATCATTAATACGTAGAGCCATTTGGACCTATAAACTTAAAGTTCTATTTTTACCACTAGACAAATTCAAAAAAATAAAGTTTGCGGTGATGAAGCAGATTTCAAGAGATGAAATGCAAAATTAATTTTATATTTTGGTTAGATAGATCAGTTGATTCAAGATAATCCCCAAAATAATTGTCGATCAATTTAGGGTGTTTTACAAAAGATAATCAGACTAAAATGCATTGCAAAGTCTTCTTTGAGTTTTCATTTCTTAATTACACAATGTTTGCTAAAACAGAGATCTAAAATATATTGCGTATATTCTACTTTTTTCGTCGCAACATGATTCCCTTTCAAAAAATTTCCTAATCAGTTTTATCAGAGGAGGAAAATTTCCCACTGACTTTATTTTAAAGGACCCTCGAGAATTAATTTAATTTATTTAAGATTTCTTTCTGATTAAGAAAAATTAGTTTTCTTGCCAGATACTGATCGATTGCTCGTCCGGTGCATTTCATTTCTCGACCTCTTTCTACGCTTATTTTTTCCACAAATGTCTTTTTATGCTTGCATTTTGAATAGCACATGCGCTTGAATATTACAGCTGCCATCTGCATGTAATATGCAAGTTAGAAGTCCCAAATCAATTTAATTTTAGACTAAAACCTTTAAAAGCAAGTATATAGTCCTTTTCAATTCTTTAGTTGAAAATTGGTACAATTTTGAGTTTATTTAGTGGATTCTACAAAATAATGTATCTCTACTATTTTATAAGACTACATAAATTATAGGATTGTTTAAATAATTATACGCGCAAGGAATTTTCATTAATTATTCAGTAATTGAACTCAATGACATTTTTATAAAATTTCCAAGAAGGAATTATTTCACCGGTGAAGGTTTTTTAAGAACACCGTTGAGCTCATTGACAGTGCTGATTTTCTGCCCATCGACAGCTACGATAACATCACCAACAAATACCCGACCCACTGATGCCCCTGATTTTTCAATATATGTTACCTTAAATGAAAGTTTCGTTTCGATGCATTTATTTAAAGTATGGCTATATTCTACCCTTAATCAGTCATTGTTCTTAACAATTTTGTGGCATAAGAAACTGAACATTTAATATTCTAACTAAACAAGACTCTCTAAAATTGGGATGAATTTTAACCTGTAAAGTATTTTTGCAGATTCTTAGTCCAAGTGGCTTCTTAAGTAATACAGTGTCCTAAAATACGGTCTGGTTGGATCAAAATATAAGTTGAGTTAATTGGTTGAATCAAAATTAACAGGCAGAAAATGCTTCGACAAAAATTTAAATGATTGCAGTGACAGGATAACAAATGGTACTTGGCCAAAGAAATGCATAATCCATTATTCCGGGAATTCTCGAATTGCTTCCCTACCTAGTTTTTTTTTTTTTTTTTTTTTATTATAAATACGATTTTTCTACTACTAAGCACTAAGAAGCTATTAATTAAAAATCACCTTGTGGTCTAAAAAGTGGTAAAAGAAAAAACCGAAGAATCATTTGAACTTCTGTAGTGAAATTGAACAATCCATTTTAACCTGAAACGGCTCTAGTGGTGTGGGATGAAGGACAGGTTGCTGTTGCAGTTTATGGTTCTCTGGTGCTTCCTTACTCTCTTCTGAATTTTCATTCCACTTCTTTTTCTCTCTAGTGCGCATCTATGACAGTACCAATTTATGATGACAGCTTCAGTGGAGTCCTGCTTTAGAGTGGAACTGTTGCGACGTTGGTAGCAAAGGTTTATGAAATTGCTTGACTGATTTTTATTATTATATATTATTGAGAAAGATAATACATGCAAAATCCTTCAAGATATGCAAATTACCGATAAGCAAAATTGAGGTTGTCAACTTGATTCTGTTTTCTGATATAAATTTCAAATAAATTTATACTTTTGACAACTAATACTTTGGTTAGATATAGGTATTGCTGTAGAAAGGAGTCATGAACCTCAAAGCATGGTCAAAACATTCACAGGCTTTACATGTATTTGACCAGCCTTGTAAATGGGTCGCTATGGACAACTGAAATAGCAAAATTTCAAAAAAAAAAAAAATCATATGACAGTACCAGTTTGTGATGACAGCTTCAATTAATTATTTGGATTACATATTAGAATCCAAGGTTAAATTTTGTTCCTCATATTCATATTGCTTAATCAGTTTATTGTATAATACTGTTACAAGCAATCTTCTACATTACCTCTACCTAGATTGTAAATTTCTACATTATATTCGTTTATTGTTCTTCTCAACGACTAAAATTGTCTTAGTGTGATTCGATAATTTTATTTGAACTATTACAATTTCCCCATGTGTGCGCAAATTTATTTTGCTGCTGCCATTATTATTTTGAATTAAAGTGAGAGTTCTAGTAGAAGTCATCTAAAAACACTTAAATAATAACGCTCTATTTTATTAGATTAACAATCCGATACATTTACATGCAATTTAAAAAAAATTTTAAAAATTCTGCCCATTTCTTGCAGAAGTATCAACCAGAAATTCAATCTTTGTTGTCGTATAGATGTCAGGAACGTCTGTCCTTCCATTTCAGTTATTTCAGTTACTTTTATAAGTTTTTCAATTCAGTACACTCCGTAGCAGTGACAACTGACATTAGTGAGTGGTACAGTAGAGTAAGTCTATCTTGAAAGGCTACAAGAAAGAGTACCACAGTATTTGTCAGCTTCAGTGTCACAACAATGCCGATCTCGTGACAGTATCGCAATGGTAAGGAAAGTCGCTACCAGCGCCAAACCAGCCCCAAAAATATTTGTTCACTACAAGCAGGAATTTGCTCAAAGTGCTATCTGTACCACTTGCTCTCACAACGCTTCCACTTTATTTCTATTGTTGATTTTTCATTTTCATTCGATTCAATAATGTTTGCATTTCACCATTCTTCCTTTAGGAAGAAATTAACCTTTGAATTGTCATCTAACGGATCTTTACATTTTGGTTATAATCCAAATTTGTTATTGAATTTTAAAAAGAGAAGAAATGTTGAAGGTAGATCAGTTATAATATGATATTTATTTGATCAATCCCAGAGAACTTACGCTAAGAATAATTGTAATGTGAAATCATCTTTTCAACCTTGCATAGTTGCATAATTCAGATGAGAAATAAAAAGCAAGTCACCATCTTTGGAAAGTTGTTGACACTTACTGTCAAATTAGGAAATCTCTGCATGGCAATGTTAAGAAGTAGTTTCAATTCTGATGATCTTATCACCGAGATTTCAATCCCTTTACACAATAGAATTAACTAACGTCACTGTAAAAGTCTAACCAAGTGTTGTAAATCAATATTTTACGTTGTTTATTTTACTTTTAAATACGTAGCTTCACATTTTGCAATAAAAAATTGGTGCTAATGAAATGTGAATATTGAATTGACTTGGTTGACTTTGTTTGTGTCACAGTTCTGACTTGTATATGTGACATTTCAAGCAATGAGTAGGTAGACACACAAGAAATGTCTCTTCTCACTGTATATTTACATTATTTATTAGACAGCTGTGAAGATGTTTTATGAATGCAGGAAGATATCTTTTCAGGATGGTATCACTGATAGGTCGACAAGGACTATATTTGTTAAGTCGTAGGATGTTGTTCAATTCAATGGGTATGCTATCTTTTTCTTTCATCTTTTCCTCACTTGATATTAGAATTAAGTGATAATGTCTTAGAGAGTAATTCTGAATTTTTGGATTAAAAAATTTCAAAGACTAGCAACACTTTCTTAAATGAAGAAATTATGCGCCACAAATGAATAAGCTATCCTGCGAATGCAATCACTGAATGAGCTTATTATTCAGCAAGAACTGAAGATGGGATAGATGTAATAGGGAAACAGACAGAAATTCCCAGACTTGAAATTACTGGGGGATTTTAAAAGCTGTCAGACTGTAATCCCAAAACTCTTCTTTCTCTTGCCACATAGTCATCTGCCAAGATAACAGTAACAGTAAACTCGAAGTAGATGATGATAACTGATGATAAGACAGGTAGACAAATGAACTGTTCCTGCCGGGCAGCAGCCGTACTTTGTCACCAACTTTTAGAGCAGGTTGTCCCTCATTCCTGTGTCCCATTACTACTTCACTGCTTTACTTGCTGCACCTATTTTATCAACCAGTTCGAGAGTTCCGCGACTGAAGAAGAAGAGTGGAAAAGAAGGAGGAAGAAAAGACAAAAAGGATGACAGAAGAATAGGAAAAAGTTGAGTAGAAGACACTTATACACTGCTTTCACGGCACATAAAATATTTCGTGTGCAACTGGGATAGTCCCTAGTCTGGAGAACGTTTTGGTCCAGGACTTCTGTGTCAAAATATGACCTGAGAGTTGCCGAATCTCATTTTCTAACAACACTGTTGAATCAATTATTTTACTCTCTTCATTATTTGTCAACTATTATTGATTGTTGAAACGTGGGAATTCGAACGGAATCCATTGAAAACAGGTGCTATGAGGCGCTTCTTGCACCTGTTCATTCATTACCTGAAGATAGTTCATTTTGCAGTGAGTGAATTTCATGTCCTTTTTATTTCAGCTAGATTCCTCCCACTTGTGCAGTTCAAGTTGTCAGATATTGGTGAAGGCATCGCCGAAGTGCAAGTAAGCCATCAATTTATTAATCAATATGCGAATTACAGTTTACAATATTTCAAACAAATTCGAACTAACTCTTTTTTAAATGATTCGATTCTTAAAGACTCCTTCACTTAGAAACCTCTAAAAGCTACGCTGATTCCAAGGAATGATTAAAGAGTAGTTTTTAGATTAAAGAATGGCATGTGAAAGAAGGTGATCATGTGGCACAGTTTGATAACATTTGCGAAGTACAAAGTGACAAGGCATCAGTGACAATCACCAGCCGTTATGATGGTGTCATAAAAAAACTGTGAATTTTATCATATCCCAATTTTCCTAATTATGGATGAAAATTACTTCTATAACAACCTTCATGAAAGTGTTGTCCTTCGGAATTGAAAAACTAAATGATTGACTTCTTTCATATCAAAAAATTTGGAGTCTAAAATAATTTGTTCTAGGTACTACGATGTTGAGGATGTAGCGAAAATAGGAACAACCCTTGTGGATATCGAAGTTGCGGATGTCGGTACTGATGTTTATTTCTTCTTTTTCAAGCAAATCCATAACTCAGTTGATTCGCAGAATTGCGTTCAGCGGGACTAGGAATAATTAGAAAGGATATGTTTTGTATTTTTCTGTGCCAATCCAAAATGAAGTTGATTTTAATGTCAGGTTAATGGTTCAAATACTTAAGTTACAAAAAGATCGTATATTTTTGGAACTGCGCAACACATTAGTTCTGTCGATTGAGCTAATAGTGATCCAGGAGCCTTGTACATAACAATAATTTTTTTTATGCATAAGGGCCATTGCAAACTGGAGAATCAGCAGTTCCCTTTACCATGAGCATATTTTGATCAGCTAGTAATGAAAAATATAGTTGCTCTTCAATATTTGTTAAAAGATGCCATTTTAATTACTTAATTTCTTTCAATTAACTGATGCCAGGTGGAAATCGTGATGGGAAACTAGAGAGAGAAATGACCACTTCAGATAATGCTCAGGAAGCTAGGAAAATCCTTGCGAGTCCGGCAGTTCGACAACTTGCTAAAGAAAAAGGGGTATTTTTTTTTTCTTTATTTGGCAGTTATTTCTTATTATTACATTTGAATTCGTAGACATTTTCCATTGTCTTAAAAATTTCCGTAAAAGGGGACATGAAGAGAAGGAGAAAAAATAGAACAATTTTAGGTGATAACTAATTAGTAATATCTCACTAAAGTTTATTGCATGTTTAAACAAGATTCAGTGGATTTTCATTGCGTTTCTACTCCAAATCAAATTTTTTTGGTCCCTTCTGGAGCAGAACGTTCTAAATTTATATCTTATTACAGTCGATTGTTAGAAAAAACGCACTTGCTTGTAATAAATAGAACGAATTTGTCATATTTCTCACTAAATGATTGTTTAAGGTGAATCTGAATGAAATCACTGGGACAGGTATTAGTGGACATATTCTGAAGGATGATATTATTTCTTATGTCGAACGTCAAACTGGTAATGAACTTCAAACTTTGCATTTCTTTTTTTATGCATGCTATTATTAGTATAACCACTTCTCAGAACATTACTATTCACTATACTTGGGAGCATACTGTCATTATCAGTTGTGAGAAATTAATGATATTTCTGCGTATTGCTTAAAATGAAATATACTGAATAGCTGCTAGGGAATACTAAACTAAGTTACTCTTGGTAACATGCGTATTCATAGTCTCCCTGTCTTTTGAAAATTTTCGGTATTTTCCAGACTCGTCAACGGCAACAGTTGCAGATGTGACTTTCCATGCAATGTCACCACTGTCGCATTCTTTGCCGCTGGAAGAGGTTTGTATATATTACTATTAATTCATCATTACCATTAATTCATTATTGCTATTAAATCATCTGTAAAAATGAGTTATTTAATTTTGTAGCTTATTTCACACTTCCTGAGAGAAAGATTATATCCGGCTGCTTGCTGCAGTCGTAAAATAATAAGTCAATGAGAACTTTCACTTATGAAATTTGTCGTATTTTCAGTTTGAAATGCTAAAAAAAGATAAAATGATCCCTATACGCGGTTATACTCGTGCTATGGTCAAGTCGATGACTGAGTCTTTAAAAATACCACACCTTGGCTTTTGCGATGAAGTAATGTTTAGTTGGTGTCGTTACAGTACACTTTTGTCCTTAATATTATTTCATAAAGTTAATAAATTTTTATATGCAGTCCGAAATACTTTTTTGATCTTTTTTCATTATTGAGATAAGAACAAAATTAGGTTAAAGGATTTTGTATATTTCTTTAAATAAATTTGTAGCGGAAAATTTTTAGTAATTTCAAATAAATTTTTAAAATTTCAAATAAAGTTTTAGCAATTCCTTCGTTTTGTTAATCTTGTAGTTTTTCATATCCTAGAATATCATGAATCAGAGAGAAGAACATTGGCCAGAAATTAGGAAAAATAACTGTTCAAGGAAGAATTTCTGTTACGTGATAAAGAAAAGGCGGTATATAGTGGAGTTTTTCGGTTAAAGTTTATTTTCAGGTGAATTTTGATCGATTAATAACAATGCGGAAGGAACTGAGAAATTTTGAAATAGCATACAATGCTCGTATGAGTTTCATGCCAATTATTATCAAAGCTGTCTCACTTGCTTTAAAGAAATTTCCAAGGTTGAACGCTATAGTAGACGAAAATATGGAGAATGTCATTTGTAAAGTAAGTTGGTTTTATTATCAAAAATCTATTTGATTTCATTTCTAAGCCAGGTAATTAGCGTGGTTTTTTAACAGCTGGTTGCAAGTTACGAATTTTCTGTTTAATGTTATTTCGTTAATCTGAATACTTTCATCACAAGCGGAACAAAAAAAAGGTTCTCTTTGCGTACAATGTGTGCTACAAGTTTGATGCAATAGCAGAACAGCAAAGTTTTCAGCTAATTTAAATATAGATTTTTGTAATATTGATCGAGATTTTCCAGCTTTACGGGAAGAAATTATGAAAAGTCCAGAAGAAATTTTACCTGATGCACTAATGTGTTTCAGTTCCGGATGTCAGGTATTTTAGCTGCGTTTAGATGTTCCAATTAATTAGTTTTTTTAGGCATCGCATAACATATCAATAGCTATGGATACTCCGGAAGGTCTTGTGGTACCGAACATCAAACACTGTGAACAGCGCACATTATGGGAGGTTGCTGCTGAGTTGAACCGTCTTCAGGAAGCTAGCGGTAAAATGAAAATAGATCCAGATGATCTAAAGGATGGAACGTTTACACTGTCCAACATAGGAGTGGTGAGCATGCTTTTGTGACACAAAAATTGTATGAAATTCCAGTAAAGCATTCATTTGGTACACCGACATACACATCGTTCGAAATATATTCCTGATAGTAAATTATTTAGATTCAGAGATTTGAAGACAGATTTCTTTTGATAGCGATTGTTTTGCTTTGTAGTCTCAGCAGTCTATTTAAATGTTTTTAGCATCTTTGTTAATTTCAAATTTAGCACCGACTCCTTATGTGTACTGTTGAGTATGACATGACAGCACACACAAAGATCCAATGCTGTGTATAGCTACCAATGAATGATGAAAGTGATTGAACTATATATTTTGTTAAAATTGAATTTAGGTTAGTGGTCTTGACTGTGCATCAGATGTTTATTAGAATGCTGCAATTAATCTTCCGTAAATTACTTCGTCCTACTTAAGTTGTTTGTCAGAACGGTGACATTTGGCAACATTGTTATCATTTACGTAATATTGGACTGGAGGGATTTTCTTAGTTTTGAGGTATTACAAGTGAAGAATACTATGAAAAAATTTTTGTTAAATTTGCAGCTTGGTGGTACTTATCTTATGCCGGTGATTATGGCACCTCAGCTTGCGATTGGAGCAATTGGACAGATTTCTAAACTTCCTCGATTTAATAAAGAGGGGAATGTGAGTTGTTCAGAAACACTGTTTTTTATTGCATTCGTTATTCCTAGCTACTTCAGTAAGCGTCTTTTCCGGTATGTATATTGCAGACTCTACACATCTGAAACTGTGTATTTGAAATAAGTATCATGTTGACTGCTGTGATTAATCTTGCAAAATATTTCCCACTGACTCAGTGATTGATCTCGCAATATATTTCCGAGAAAAGCAAGGTTGCTGGGTCAAAAGTTGACAATTTCGCATATTGATAGATCTGCGAAGCCAATGTGGTGAAGTTTTCGTGGGCTGCAGATCATCGTGTTATCGATGGTGCCACGGTAGCTCGTTTTAGTAGCCAAGTAAAGCGGTATCTGGAGAATCCATCCAACATGGTAGCTGATTTGAGATAAACAATGATGTGCGTTGTTTTTTTCCTTTAAATCATTACAAAAGTTTTCATAGTCTTTACTGACTTCCCAACTTTTAAGCGTTTTTCAATGCATTTCAGAAAAAATGTACCATTGTTTTACGTATCTTCGATTATGATGACCGGAAAATGGATGGACCAAACATATCCATTCACAACTGTCAGATTATTTTTAAACTCATACGAGCCTGTTCCCTGCGTTCTAGTCTTTTGTAAGCTAGTGTTTGATGCAAAATTATACTTATTTCGACCCGAATCCCACTTGCTTATTAACATCTGTCAGTTTTATACTGTGCTCACTGCTATTATGTTTTTGACATAGCAATAATTTTTTAAATCATGTTATATCACTAATGCTGTAGTGAATTTATATGTTCTAAGATAATAAAAAAGATGACTTAAATCTGTTGCTTTACGATCAAACTTTCACACCCATAAAAGAGTTCGCGGAGTAATTCATTGGTGATAACATCATGTTTATTTCTCGACAAGGCAACAAAGGTTGTGATTGTGCAAAGGACTCTGGAAGTGCCTTGGATTTTGATCCTAAGTACTGCCGATACATCCCTTTCACTGTAAGTCGACAGGAGGAAGACAACGTTGACGGTGGACGTTTTGTATTTGAATGGATCTGTTCAACTTCCATGCGATTACTAATTCCTTCTTATCATTTTCTTTACACTTTGTTCTTAATTCCGTCTTACAATGTTGGAATTCAGTTTGCTTCCCACAGTTCCAGTTATATAATCCCTCAACAAAATTACTTTACAAAGAACTACAACATAACCCTTGACCTATATGTAAACTCGCTCGCTAATGGTTTTCTAGCTGTTAGAGGATGCAATTTCTGCAGCACTAAATCGATAGTGTATGATAATGGTAGTAAATTTGACGGGAAGTTTAGATACATTCTGCTATTTCCCTTGCTAGTTGTGTATTTCCCCGTTTACATTTAATCAGGTTATTGACCGAGTACTGAGTTAATTAAAGTTGAGTGGTATTGTATGAGCATATATTTGCTGAGAAATTGCCAGACAAATAAGGCTAGTTGGGTTGACAAGAAGTGCCTATATGGACTGATTAAAGTCTAAATACTTTCTAGTTGTTAGAATTCTTCTAAAATTAGAATAGAAATGCGCAATTGACCTCATGCAACAGTTCCTTCTTCAAGACCAAAATATATTCCCGAAAGGTCTACGAGCGAGTGGGAGGAAGGCCATCAGTGGTAGATTGTTATGACATAGGCTGTGTGGTGATACTAGTTAAGTACTGTTTTGGTAGGTAAGACGTGTCTCTTTTAGTTAAACATTATAGGGTGGTCTAGCAGAGCGTCTCTTATGCATATTGTGTTTTGTTAGGAGAAATCAGAACTATTGGTGGGATCCCGGCTCAAAATGACGAGCCATGATAGATGATGGGAAGGAATCATATCCTGACATGTCTGAACTACTAATTCGATAGTTTTATTAGATACCTCTTTCTTCCTATCACATTCCCCACTTTTACATTTGGATAATCACTACTTCAGACGTATCTGTCGTCCTCAAAACTACTGATAACGTGCACCAATCGTCTCCATTGACTAAAAGTAATTGAACTTTGTTTTCTTGACCGTTGGCACTGCATCGGAAATTCAACTTGATTTTGTCATCAATATTAATATTATCGGACTTTATACATTTCAATTCACTTGCATAAACTTATTGTCAATTAAGTGCTAAGAACTGGACTCCAAATTTTGTGTTTACTTCTGTAACATTATATTCAAGATTTTCATTGCATTATGGATTTCTACAATATCCTTATTTTTGTTATACATGATAGACAGCGTTTTAACGCTGAAAAGATTACAGAGGGCGAAATATGAACGGAAATCGTTGTGAAATTCAGTACGATTTAGAAATGGAAATGTGGGAATTGACTATAACCCGTGAGCTTGCTTTTATGTGAACCTAATTAACTTTGACTCCTTTTGAATTTCCTATATTAAGAATGAGTTTTGCCCACTAGATGTCACTTAGTCGATGTATGATTGTGAGTAGAATATAGTGATGGCACTTTTGGAGACTTACATAATTCGGATTTAGTGGATGGGATTCGTGTTATAGTTCTCCATCGAACTGTGTTTTTGCCGACTAACCCATTTATGTAGTAAATACGGAAATTAGTGAAGAGAATACGGAAAAACGAAGTTTCTCTTCCATATTTAAAAACTTTTCCTTCCTGTACATTTTAGTTTCAATTTCATCACATCCTGAAAACAGGCAGCACTGGTCGCACGGAATAAAGGGACGAAGGTAAAATTTGATTATCATGTTAAAAATCATCACCATCAGCTTACTGTTTCAAGAGCACTGCAGGATAATTGTAAACCATTATTTGCTGGGTGAAGGCAAGTTGTGGCAGAACCAAATAGTTCGTTAGTTTTTTGAATAGATTTGTTCTCATCCACATCTTGCAGTGTTGTAGATGTTATTTTAGATTAGCACAATGTCATAAAGCTATCTTTAGTATTCGCGCTTCCAATTCCCATCCATCAATTTTTGTCACATATCTTAATATTCGAAAATGAAATTATTATTGATAAGAAGGTGATCAATTATTTCATAACAGTTTGCGTTCTGAACAGTTAGTGTTTCTTTTTTCAAACCTTGTTAGTTTATTTGTAATTACGCGCTTTTCGTTTTTGGTATACTGTTCTATCACTTAAATTCTTTTTTAAAGACATTTCCGATGAGTTCTACGGCGGCAAAGGAAGCTTTGCCAGAAGAACCGCCTGTGTACACTGACCTTAGCCGACAGTTTGTACCGTTTAAGGAATCCGACGAATCTACTACACCACCTTTAACCATTGAAGAATTTGGTGAATCTGTTATACCAACTTTAACCGTTGAAGAAAATGAACCTGAAGAGCAGTCAGAAAATTGTTATGGTAATGACAGTCAATTTAGATGAAACTAATTTTCAGTTTTTTTCGCTTGAATTTATGGAATTTCAGTAGGAATTCATGTCAATGAATTTTCTTTACTTTTTTTCCCGTGTAAGGCAGAATTTATGTTAGCAATATGACAGATATATTCATCACTTAGTTCAAACTTGCCTTGAAAGAATGAAATGAGTACATGAATTCCGCATATTTTTCTTTTCTCGCCTAGTACAGTTATGTTTTGAGCAGTTCTCTGTTCGAAACCTAAAGTATGTGTCTCAGGAAACATTTCAATAAAATAATAAGGGGAGGAAACCAGTGTTTTTGTGTTCAATTCATGTGTGTAGTTGTTTAGAGTTTTAAATCATTTTCTAGCAGATTACCTTATTTTGAAATCAGACGAACTTTCATTTTAAGAAGCCGTACGATTTTTAAGTTTGCTGCTGCTGTGGTAGCGATGTTTCAACTGTGTAGTTTAAAAGACAATTATTTTAGCATGATAGCTCTTGTCATATTCATGTTTGAATAAAAATTACTTCATTATTGGCATACTTTTTATAAGATTTCCCTCCTTTTTTCACATAGCAAGTGCCCAGCAGAGGCAAAATGTTGTTTTCAAGACGAGTTTTATTCCTAAAGATATTCATTATTTGCTAATAAATAGTCCCGATAAATACTAAATCAATGAAGTCTCATGCTATAGCGTCCAATAATTTTAAATTTTAAGTAGTGCAAAATTAAGATGTTTTTCTAGATAGTCTTTGCCTTAATTTTCATAACCTTTTAGATCAGCAGTTTTCACTGTGCCATTAAGTAATTTCTAGTTATTCCCACTAATTAAATATCTTTCGAAATCAAGTAAGAGCAAATGCCTTTTTCCCAGAAAGAGTTTATTTCTTTTGTCATTTCAGGAATTATCATACATTTTTCTCCTTTATTCCATCAAATTCATCCAGGAATTTTTAGATGAAGCGGTAAGCCGATCTCCTAGCAGTGATTATCACGGGAATATCGTTGGATGTAAGACACCGGAAATGTTAGAAGAGGTCAAAGTAGCGAATGAGGAATTGAGAGCAACTGCACAAATAACTAAACAATTCCGGAAGGTATTACAAACTCTTCAAAAATCACAGTAAAGTAGTTATTATGTCTGAGCCGAACTTTTTTTTTCCAGCGAAATGCAAGGCGAAGAGGTGGGAATGGTCTGTGTCCACCACATCCGCCGGAAGATGTACCAGTTGTGAATTGGAGTGAGCCAAACGAAATCAAGCATATATTCCCGAAAACGTATAACTATGTGGTAAGTTCCGAATAAATCTATTATTCTTTCTTTTCGCATGGCTACAAGGAAATCGATGGGAGGTAAAACAATACCAAGAATCATACTATTTCAAAAAACTTTGGAAACTACTGAATTCAGAAGAATTTCAGAACATATCAGTGCCATACTTCCTTACTTAGATGGGAAAAGATGCAATAGCGGTAGAATTGCGCTATTATTATTTATGTTTGGCAGTCGTGAAACCTGGCATAGTGCAGTTGTTTCTAGGTTTACGCTCAAGCCCGTTACAGTTCCCAGTACCTCAACTTGTCCAAGTGGAGAAAGGAATTTGATTTTTTTCTTGATAAATATAAATATTGGTGCGATATCATTCAAAAGTAAGTCCTAATTAAGTAAAATAGCCCTGAAATGTTCTTGTTAACTTTAAATTTCCATTTGTCATTAATTGGTTCTCGGTATCGTTCAGATCTTTCTCAGATCAATTATGTTTTACAGAAAACAACTTACTGACCATAAAGAAATCACCAAAGCGAAACAACTTGTAGGACAACTCAGATGGTTGCTTGACCACTGCTGGGAAGGGGATGAGAGCAGGCCTTTGGTACCAGAAATGTTATGGAGAGCTCGAAAGGGTATGCTGTGCTTACTTAGATGCTATTTTTATCTTTAGAATTATAGAAAATTGAATGAAGAATTGGAAAGAGCACTAATTTATTAGTGTATCTGATTCAGAAGAAGCCCGAAGATGTGAACAAGTACTGATTCGTAAGGAGTA